CAGCGACGCGAACGCCAGCACCACCGTCGTCAGGCTGCGCACGGCGGGCCCGCAAGCAGCCCAGCCCTCGTAGGCCGACCTGCCCGTCACCCATACTGCATGGAGGTTGGCGCCTGCTGGCGCCTTCCGCGCTCTAGATCGTCCATTTTCGCAAACCGCGCCGCGCCAAGCACGGTCACCTTCGCGCCCTCGCGCCGCCGCCTTGGAGAAGGGTTGGCCCAGGTTGCGATGCGCGCGCGAAGCGCGATGATCTTCGCGCCCCTTGTGGTGACGTAGGCTGCCCTCCTCCTCTTCCTCCTCCTCCTCTGCAGACTTCTCCTCACCCTCGCTGTCGCCGTGCTCTGGACACTCTTCTTCCCGCTGCTTCTTCTACTGTTCTTCGTCTTCTCCTCCTCCTTCTCTCCTCCTCCTCTTCTTTTTCCTTCGTCCCACCGCCGCCAAAGCTGTTGCTGCTCCCCCTAGGCGCCCTGCCTGGCAACTAATCGCGCGAGCCACGCTCCTGTGCGTTCGGTTTTCGCAAGTGAGGTGTGCGTGTGTGTATATATATGTATATACTTATGTATAATAACATAAGGGGACAGAGAGAGAAACAAAGAGAGAGAGAGAGAGAGGCATAACACACATAGTCATACACATGAAAACACATGAAGCCACATGTATGCATACACATTCCCACATGCACACAAACACACACACACACATATATATATATATATAGATATAAAACACCGATTGGCCACTCTACCCGGGCGACCAGAGCAGACGTGAGACAGGACATGCTAGTGCGCGACGCGCTCTGAGAGCTATTTCTGCCATGGGCGTTGCACGGACGCGTCGCTTCTCGCGAGGCTCGGACCTCAAGAACAATAGACTACCTGAATTATCGATCTAATCTGACCTCCCCAACCCTTCGGTGTGGGTGGGTGGGAGCTATGAGCCAGAAGCGCAGTGGGGTCCATCGCGTCCGTCGGTGTCGATGGGCGGTCGCCCTCGAGCACGCAGCAAAAGATGTTGGGAACAGAACATTGCTATAGCACCGACTGGCCACTCTACACTGGCGACCAGAGCAGACGTGAGACAGGACATGCTAGTGAGCGAAGCGCTCTGAGAGCGATTTCTGCCAAGGGGTGTTGCACGGACACGTCGGGCCGTCGCGCCGCCGGCCCAGCTGCCCCTCGCGAGCGCGGCCCCCATGAAGGACGACCGCAAGAAGAAATCTGAGGCGCCTCCTCGCGAGGCATGCTGCCGCGAGTAGCGCCCGGGAAGGCCCTGGCGGCGCGCGAGGGCTCCGAGCGTGCTTCTGAGCTGGGCGGGCGACCTCCACGACTGGGCTTCGCATGAGGGTCCTGCTGCGCGGCCAGCCTGAGCTCTGCCTTGGCCACTGCTGACCTGATTGCGACGGCCTCCGCAGTGTCCTTGCCTGCTGTGGTCTTGGACGTCTTGATGTGCAGCACGACTGAGCACCTCAGTCGAAAACGTCGCCCACCGTCAACGCAAAGGCCTCGCCCCCCGCAACAGGCCCTCAAAGCTGATGAGCAGCAGGCAGCTCAAGTCGAACGCTCCGGCCTCCACTGCCATCGCTAGCGGCGATGTCGGGCGTGAGCGGCAGCGCCCGCTCTGCAGGGGCCACTCGCCGCCAGGCCTTCAGCTGCGCCCGCGACCGGTCCAGCCTCCTCCAAAGCTTGGGCAGCGGAAAGCACGCGCCCGCGGCAGTGTCGTTTGTCAGCGCGATGCCTGCCGATCAGCGGGTACATGTCTGCCGCGATCGCATGGCCACCCAACCTCCAGCGCTGCTGCAAGCGGCAGCTGCTGCTGCGACCCTTGGGCACGATGGTCGCCAGACCTGACTATCGACGAGGCGGGGGCCACCGCGTGCAGTGTCAAGTTGACTTCTGCTCTCGCCACCGCATAGCTGCCAGCATTGCCATCGGCCCTCTCACGTTGATGTGCGCGCGCGCCTCGCGCGACCACGCCATGCTCAGCGCGGCGCGCCGCCGCCGCACGAAAGGGTCCAGGCCCGAGCGAGGGCAGCCTCTTGGACGGTATGGCAGGCCGCAATCCAGCCGCGCGTCCGAGCCCCCCTACTCCGCGTGGCCCAGGTAGTGGGGGGCCAGACGCCTGGCCTCCTCGATGTTTGGGTCGCCCGAGCTGTCCTCGAAGCCGCCGCGCTGGCCCCAGGTCTCGCGGCGCTGGCCGATGCGCGTGATCTCGGGCACGGACAGAGGGGGGGCGCGCCAAAGTGGACTCCGCCAGGAGGGCGCGCTGCAAAGCCCCTGCGACCCATGGGCGCTGAAGCTGTACCCGAGCAGGAAGGTCCATGCGTCTGGGGCGGCCTGCGGGTTCGAGCCCTTCGTGGCTGCAGCGGTGTAACCTCCATCGAGCCCGAGCAGTGTTTCTCTCTCGCCGTGCAGCTTGGCAGCCTCACTGGCGGCCTCCCAGAACACTCGCGAGCGATATTCTCCTTCTCGCCCAGCGCAACGCGATGGCGGAACGAATCGTCCTGCCAGCGATGCCGAGCCCGGGCCCCGCGGCGCCGACGGGGGGCTCAGGGCCCCCCCCGCAGCGCGCCCCCGTCGGGAAGGGGAGTGGGCGCTTGGCCCAGCGAAACTTCTGGTCCTCCCACTCTCGATGTCCAGCGGCGGCCCGTTGCCTGCCATGACCTCGAGGTGGCGACCCTTGTCGACAAGGCGCAGCGGCGGTGCCATCAGGGGCGACGCGGCGCCATGACCGACGAGCAGGGGGGGCGCGGCTTAACTCCCATGCAGCTGGACATCGCCTGACGTTCTCGTCTGTCATCTTCGCCACGTTCTCGAGCAGTGAGTAGAACCGCCGCCCGAACGTCTGCCGAAAGAGCCAGAATATCCAGGGTGCCTCGTAGCACAGGGGCCCCTGCGGCCATGCAGTCCTCCACCGCTCGCGTCAAGCCGCGAGAGGTCCTGGCGCGGGCCGCCCGTGCCAGCGACGCCCGCGGCCACGGTGTCCGAGAACTTGTCAAAGAGGTCCTGCACCAGGCCCTCGTTGCCCCACGTCGCGCCGCCCCCGCCGGTCGCGCCTGGTCAACGCAGCTGGACAACGCGCCTGGCCTTCGCGTCGGTCTCGGCGGTGACGTGGGCGACGATCCTGACGGGCAACTTCGAGAGCGACGCCACGAGGCCGCCGATGCCGTCGAAGAGCCCCCCCCCCGACTAGGACAGTGAGCACCTTGAAAACGACTGCCTTCGGGGGTTCCGGGTTACACGGTCCAAGGGCACCGCGGGTCTACAGGCAGGTTGAGCAACCGAGTGCCCGCGCTCAACGACCTGTCTCACGGATTTGAGCGCCAGTGCCGCTTTCCCCCATGGGCTCGTGGACGCGCAGGCGCCGCACCCGAACTCCGAGGCGTTCGAGACCGTGACTATCCCCCCAACGCGGGCCCGAAGAGAGGTTGCCGCTGTAGGCAGCAGCATGAGGCCCGAGAAGAGCTCCTCGACCATCTCGGCGATGTACTGGACCGAAGATCGCGCCGTCGACGCGGACCATGCAGAGTTGAGGAGGCTGGCAAGCGGGCGTCTGAATCCGAAGGCCCGCGCCAACTTGCCGAGGCCCATCATGCGCGCGCGCCAAGGCATCCGCTCCTGCGACCGCGTCGCGAGGCGAAGGGCAGCGGTGCTCAACGCCACGGGGCCTGGCGCTGCAAGCCGCCGCTGACGCCAGCCACGCCGGCCTCCATGCGCTCGACCCGCGTCTCCCGCAGGTGGGCCTTCTCCGCCTAGCAGGTCACGCCTGTGCACCTGTAGCTCTCGCAAACGCACTGCTGACAGTCCGCCTCGGTGCCCCCGAGCTGTCGCGCCCGCGCCTCGTTCGCGGTCTCGGGCACGTCGAAGTCGTCGATGTAGACCTGCCGCCAGACGGCCTCGCAGCCACTGCCCAGCTCGACGAGCGGGCGCGCCTCGTCCTTCTGCCCCTCCAACTCAGGCGGAAGCCCTGCGCCCCTGGGCGGCGGCAGGCGACGCAGCCTGCGGTGAATGTGCTGGGAGATTGGGGCCGCCAGCGCCCGCCCCGTGGCCATCGCCTCGGGCGCGACGTAGCCTGCCGCTCGGGGCGCCCGAAGAGCGCGCCAGCGAAAGACCTGCCGACCGCCATGTGGGGGTGCCGGGCCTTTGGGGCCCTCCGCGCGAAGAAGGCCCCCTTCTGGTCGTCACCCGTCCACGGCAGCGCCCTGCCCCCGGGGGCGTGCAGGGTCGCCCGGCATGTGGGCGCCGCGAGGAGCCAAGCCTCACCGACGGGCGGCTCGAGCAAGGGGTTGCCAAAGACCATGTTCAAGATCAGCCCGATGATCCGCTCGCCGCCTGGCCCCGGCTTGCCCTCCTTTGCTGCCGCGAAGGGCCCGTTCAAGAGCGGCTCGCAGGGCAGCGCCTTGGCCGCGGCCTCGCCCGAGTCGCCCACGGTCGCCTCGCTGAGGGCCGCGTCGGCGGCGGGCGCGCCCACCTGCTCAAACAGGCCCCCCCGCGAAGTCGACGACGCGTGGCCCCGAGAACCCCGTGGCCTGCTGCTGGTCCTGGGACAAGATCGGGCGATGCCTCCAAACCTTTCTGCAGCGATCACAGTGCGTGTAATTCAGCGCCGCGACGGCGAGAAGCCACCGGGCCTCGTCAGCTACCTGGCGGGCGAAAGGCCTGGCCCTGCACCTGCGGCCAGCATCTCTGCTCGCGCACCGGCGCCTGACAGCGAGGAGTCTTGGCAGGGGCAAATTTAAGGCAACAGGTCGCGAACGCGCCTGCCGCTCCCGCAAAGTGTGGGCACGCGCCCCGCAAATCCCTCGAGAAAGTCCCCGGGCTGCCAGGGTGGCGCTCGCCGAGCTGCACGAGGTGCTCTGTCGTGTCGATGCTCGCGATGGTCGTGCCGAACTGGGCCGTGACCTCGTCGCGCCACGCCCCAGCGTCACGCGCGGCGCAGCCCGCGGCGGGGAGGCCCCGCATGCCGCGTGGGAGAGAGGTGCTCGCCAGCTCCCGCTGCTGGACCCCGCTGGGAGGCGCTCCAGCCGCGAAGCGGCTCCTTGCCCCCTCCGCCTCCAGCCGGGGGAAGTCCTCGGACGCCAGCAGCGACCCGCTGCCGCAGGTCGGGGACCGCGCCGCGCTCTCCTCCTCAGAAGTTGCACCTCCAGCAGCCTCGGCAACGTCTGCCACCGCTTCTGGACGAGCGACTCCGTCATGAAGTCCCGCAGCCGCGCCTTGCGCTCCTTCGACGTCTCGCCGTCTTTCCTCGGGCAGACAGCCCTCGCCGCCATGAAGTGCCGCGGCGCCTGCAAACCTCCGGCGGGCAGCGTCTCAACGGTATTGTCGAGCTGCGCGACTCGCCGATGAAGCGGTCTCTCGCTTTCGTTCGCGCTGCCCTTCGGCGCCCTCGGGTGGGCGGGCGCGCGATTGCCAGGCAGCCGCGCTGTCGCAGGGGGCGCCCCCCCCCCCCCGGCCTGGCCTGCAGGGGGGGCGCCAGCAGCGGGCGCGCCTCCTCCCAGCCTCCACTTCAACCCTGAGGCTTGCGAAGCCATCTGCTGAGCTCCTCCAGCTTCAACTCGCCGAGCTCGATGCTGCGGATCATCTCCTCCTCCTCGTTGCGCAGCGTGGTGGGCTCGTCCTTGGCGGGGCCAGCTCGAGCCACTTCGCCGCGCCCCAGTGCCCATTGCCGACTGCCACCCGCGCCGCCTGCAGCCGCTGGGTCAGGATGTCCAGCGCCTGAAGAATCCTGCCATGGAGGAGAAAGTCGATCGACTCGGCCAGCGTCTGCATCTCGCGATGCGCAGCCACCCCGATCTGCTGCGCTGGGTTCTGCGGCAAGTAGATCGTGAGCAAAACCTCAACACAAGCGCCGACGTCGGGTTCACCGCCGTGTCGCCCTCGACGGCACCGAGGAACTCTGCCATCTGCGTCAGCGTGAGCTCTGACAACCTGCCTGGCTGGTCCTGCGCCATCTCTCTGCAGCGAGCCCGCTTGGTCGCAAGTCCCCCCGGGGCTGCGGCCCCGTCGGCTGCGCTGAGGGGGTCCGAGGCGGCGCCAGCGCCCGAACTGCCGGCTGCCTGCGTGGGCGAGCTCTTGAGCACCGCCATGAGCGCCGTCGCAAGCACCTTCGCGCCTTCGCCCGCAGCTCCCTCGCTGGTCGCAACCGCAGCAGCTGGGCCGCTTGATACGCGCGCCGCCTCGGCGCTGGGGGCCTTGGCGACCTTCGCCATCCGCTCCGCGAGCACCTCGGCGAGGCCACGCTTCTTCGGCTTGCCCTCGCTCGGCGCGCCTTCTGCGCTGCCTAGAGGTGCGCCAGCCGCAGCGGCCCCAAGCGCTGCCGAGGCGAACCGGTCCCGCGCCGCAGCGAGCCTGGCCCGCAGCTCGTCCCTCGTGGGCTCCAGGTTGAGCGGGAGGCCCGCGGCCCGCGCGGACAGGGCACTGTCGCCGAGCAGCCCATCGAGGGGAGCGCTGTGCCCCACGACCGTGCGCTCGGCTGCACGTGGCCCTGCCGCCGGGGCGGCCAGCCGCGCCGCACGCGACCCCGGCAGGTCTGCGGGCCAGACCGCCGCCTCGGGGTTGCGGGGCAAACAGTTGGAAATGACTTCGGCGATGTCTTCCGCCTCCAGCCTGCGGGCGTCCACGACGTGGACGAGCTCGTCGCAACCCGCAGGTGCCTCGACGCCGCACGGCCCGTCCGTGCAGATGCGCAGCAGGACGCTGGGAGAAATCCCGCCCGCCACGCCTGGAGACGCCGCCCACCAGTCCCACTACGCATCGTCGCTGAAGAGGAACCTTGCGCGCACGAGCTGCTCGGAGGCGCCTGTGACCCGCACCGCCAGCCACACGAAATCGCACTGCTGCTCCCCATCGCCTCAACGAGTTCGGCTCGATGACAATCGGGTCTGCGGGCGACGGCTTCAGCTCCTCCAAGGCGGCCACCGCTTCGTCGTCGTCCTCGACGACCTCGGGCCCCAAGCCATTGCCGAGCAGCTTCCCGACCGAGGCGACGACGCCGCCTCCGCGAGCTGCATCCATCTCCTGTCCTGGAGTGAGCTCGTGCTCCTCGCCCCGAGCGCACGCAGCGTGCCGTGGCCCAGGCCGTCGCCAGGCCGCGCGACGGCGTCGCGCGGATGCCACGGCGCCCTGCGACCCTCGCGCCGCGGCGGACGCACCACCGCCACGCGGGAGAGGGGAGCCTGGCTCGGTGCCAAAACTCACGAGCCAGAACAGCTCTGGTACGGAGGGTAGACGGCGTAGGGGATACACGCACCAAATGGTATGAGCATACAAGCCTGTATACGGACATATATGTATGCAGCCATGCATGTATGCATGCATACATGCATGTATGCACATCTGTTCACATGGCATTGCCAGAGAGCACAACTCGTGTATCCGCAGAATGATTCACGGCTGAACCGCAGCTCACTTACAATGCAAGTGGCTCACTCTGGATTCACGCCGCGGTGCAATGGCACGACGACGCCGCGGCACTTCACCCCATTCACGCCGCGGCGCCACGGCATCACGGCTGGGCGACACCGCCACGCCGCGGTACCGTGATTCCTCGACCTTGGCCTCCCGCCGACAGTGGTGATAGGAGCAATGGCGACAGCAGGACAGACGGGCTCTGCCAGCCCCGAGGGCCATCGCTCACGCGCTCAGCTTCGCACGCTGGTGTCCTGGCGCTAGCCCGCAACGAAGTCTGTGGAGTTGCTCCTGAAAGCGTTGTACCCCGCCTGCCAGAGCAACGCTCGACGTCTCTCATACGACGGTGGGCTTCAATCCACATCGATTCTGCAGGTGCAAGTCTGGGCTTCAACTACCTCAAGCAAGTCTGGGCCTGAGAGGACAGGAGGAGGAGGAGGACGAGGCGGAGGACGAGGAACCTGTTCTCCTTCTGCCCCTACCTCCTCCTCCCCCTCAACTATTCCACTGCCTTACGAAGAAAGCCGACAGTGGTGTGCCCCCTCCACACCCTCCTGCCAGTCAGCAGAGCCCAAGCGAGGCCCACCAGGAGATTCGCGTGCACCTCGTTCGGGGATGGGGCGGTCAACACACAATGCAAGATCACGGTTGCACGCATGATTCGGGGAGAGCTCATGTCTGACACCCCATCATTCCTCCGCCCCTATCCTCACTCTCAGGTTCTATGAATTATACCATGCGCACTAGCGCAACGTATGACCAGTGATGGACAGACCATGGATATGATCTCGAACTTTGCCTTCAGATCTTGGCAAAGGTAGTTTAGAACACTGTGGACATATTCGGTGTCTGAGTCTTCGATCGCGCGCGCGCGAGACGCTGACCAGGGGACTCCTGGTCCACAGTCCTGTGCCCAGCCATCTGTTTTGGTCGGACTGACACCCTCGCGGCAAAGGCCACCCAAGACGCCCTGAAGGCGGCCCAATACGTTGACAAAGCGGCCCAGGACGCCTGCACACAACTCTGAGATCAGACAAAACGGTGCTACGAGATTCGCAAACTCTCAACAAGCCGTTACCCGGTCCCGGCAAGCTCCCCAAATGCTCCCACGATGTGTCCCACCGAATTCCTCCTGAGAGATGTGAGACACCGCGCTGGAGGGGCTGAGCTGGTCCTCAGCGGGCTTCGGAACATTCCCTGGGCCGCCTCCGACGGCTTACCCCCTGGCAGCCAAGGAAGCCTCCGGGAGAGGCCAAAGACCGTCCCAGCACAGTCCAATCCGCTTCCAAAGACGGCCACGAGACGAGACGACCTAAGATCGCTCCAATACAGCCCCAGCGCAACTCGAACTCGTCAAATGACCGACTCATGGCCCCCGCAAGTGCCCCCAAGACCCTCCTAGAATGGGCCTGCGACCCCTCCAGACGGCCCCAAGATTCCCAAATCCGAACAAGCCATGAACAGGGCCCAACGTTCCGCTAACCCGACGACTCCGAACAGATCCCAAACATACCCCAACGTTCCATCAAGAGGCTCCCAAGAAACCCTGCATCAGGCCCCCGAGAGCCCAATGATAATAATGACATTTGACAGCGCAATTATCATTATACTTGCCAAAGCCAAGCTCACCAGTTGCAAGGAGTTCAGGATCTCGGTATGATCCTCGTAGGGTCCTGGCGAGATCCTGATAGAGACATGGCAGAAGCAATGTCCCGGTCAAGTGCTGGTGGGGTCCTTAGATGGGCAGTATCAAGACGGTCCTGATAGGGTTGTGATAGGGTTATGATACGGTTCAGGGTAGGTCCTGGAAGGACACTGTCGGGGTCCTGGCAAATTCCTGGTAAGCTCATGGTTTTTATTGGGTGCTCCTGTCCTCCGAGACGCCGTTGTGGGCCATCAAGGCGTTTGGTGCAGCGTTGGGACCGTTTGGGCCTCCCCCCGCAGCCGTCTTTGAACTTATTCGGGGTTTGTCTTGGGCCCGTCAAGCGAGAATTCCAACGGCGGGTGGTGATCGCGAGGCGTCTCGAATGAGACATCCACCCACGGTTCTCTCGGTTCGTCCTCGGGCCAAAACTAGGACCACGTCAGGCCACCGAAGAAGCGGGCGGCCACTGATTCTAGGCTTTCGCCTCCCATCGATCCCCAGTAGCTGGCTGCTAACTGCCGCCAGAGGGTACCCCTACATCTCTTCCTTGGGAACCAAAGCGAATGACGGAATAGGATTGCGTAGTGTCTAGTCGCGCAAGTGTGGCGGCCCTAGACGAAGTGCAAACTCGCTTGGGCATTCGAAAGCTTCGGGCAGGGAGCTGGTGTAGTCATTGGGTACTCACTGTTTGCAGCACGCTCGGGCAAGGAGCCCATGCCCAGACGCGCTCTGGTGTGCCTGCGAAGCTCGCACTGACACGCGAGGGTGCAAACAACGCGCGCACCCACGCACTCATCGTGCCTTGCGATTGTCGCGCTGTGACCACCCCGCCTGCTTCCCACACCGCGCTTGCACCCGCGCCTTGTGCCCCCCCACTCTCGCACATGCCCACCCCGGTCCCCCGCGCGTGGCCCTCGGCACGCCGCGCTCCTCGGTGTCTGCGTGTTTCTGCCCGCAAGGCGCACGGGACTACATAGAAGGAGAAAAGGGAAGGGAGGAGACACTGTCCTCCTTCAAACTCTCCTGCTGCTGCTCCTCCTCCTCGCGCCCCGCCTAGACCTCCGCGGCCGACGGCAGCTCGTTGGCGCCATCGGTCCGACGCGGGGGGCGGAGGGAGGAGGAGGGGTAACGGGGTCCAAGAGCTACCTTGCCATGCCCACAAGCCCGTCACGTTGGAGGCTGGGGCTTGAAGGGGACCCTCAAGCTGGAGGCCCGTCAGGCTGGAGGCCATCCAAACAAGATTCTTATTTTGACCCCTGATCTAGGTTGCCACATGGCGGACTTGGCCTTCGCCGCCCTGCCGCTCGTGGGGAACTGGGAGCAGGGCTAGAAGGGTTGGGAGCAGAGGGGGGATTTATGGAGGGAAGAAGGGGGAACTTTTTGGCCTCTGCTCCTAGGGCGACCTGCTCCTGATAATCTTCCCAGCCTCTGAAGGATCTCCTGCCTCTGAGACGGGATCAGGAACAGGAGCAGTGGCTCCCCCTTCGCTGCGTCATTCCATGAAAGAGGCAAGCCGCGCATGATATCAGAAAGAGAACGTATCGCGCCAAGGGCTCCGCAGACGGGCGGGCCAGCGCAGCGCCGCGCGCGGGCCCGACGAATTTGCGCGATGGGCTCCCTTGCCGGGTGGCCGAGCACAGCGCCGCGCGCGACCCGCAGCTCCGCGGGCGGGCGGGTGTCTGGCCGCAGCGCCGCGCACGAACCCATCCCATCTCATCTCTCATCACGTGTGACTGCAGACAAATGCCAGACAAGAGCGCTCACTGTCGTGGACAGCTCCCGTCGTCCGCGGGCGGAGCGATGCCAAGTGTGCCGATCACCCTGCCGCGCCCTCGGACACGGGAGTCCAACCGATCTCGCCTCCGAATGAAAAGTATGCTCGGCTTTCTGCTGCTCTCAACAGCACGTGGTTACGAAATATCGCGATTGTAATCCAGACGAGCACGCTTGCGAATAAAAGGTTGCCTCCACTGGCTGTCCTCAACAGGAGTACAGTCGGGGCGTTGACCTAAGGAACCCTAAATCAGGAACGAGGCCCTTTTTTCCATGAGTTAACCTTCGATTTCCGGTCGAAAACATAAGGGAAGCCTGAGGCAAGCTGTGAAACATTTAAGGAACGCGGAGCCCCTCCCCAACGAAAAGGGTTCCTTGCTCAGGGCCCTGACTGTATTGTGAATAAGTATCGCACACGTAATCCATGCGAGCCCTCTTGAGGACGAATTTCCTCAACAGCTCGCACATAATACTGCAATTCACTATCCCGAATATACCGGAGCTTCTGTTCGGTATGGTGCACGGCGCGGACAGCGCCGACAGGCACGGAGGAGAAGACCACCGCGGCCGCCAGCGCCATCGCCAGAAATGTGGCCGACCACAACCGTTGGCCTCGGCCTCCCCGAGCGTTGGAGCCTATTGAGCTCCGCGGGGGAGGCGCCAGCAAAGACCTCTGCAAGCACGTCGAACCTGTGCTCTGTCAGGTTGCGCCGTGCCCGCGTCGTGCCAGAGACTCGCACGCCTGCGATGCCGGCGGCGGCCACGGGGATGATGAGCTGCAGTCTGCGCCGGAGCACGCCGACCTCGCCGCCAAAAACATGTGCGCGTCTTCGTCCAGGGCAGCAAGCAGGCCGTTTGTCTCCTCGAGCTGGCCCTTGAGACGCATGATCTCGGCCTGCAGCTTCGCCACATGACGGTCCGCCGAAGCGCGCGCCCCAGCCGCCTCGCTCAGGGGGCTTCCCGTAGCCATTCCCAAACTGCACAGCAGAGGAAATCACTGCAGTCGCAAGAAAAAGAGGGAAACATCGCCCACCACGTTTGAATCATGGGGGTTTCGCCTGCTGATGGGCGGCTTGAGCCAAAATGGCTACGGACCCTCCTCCTCCGCCTCCTGCTCCTCCTCTTTGCTCGTGCCGTCGGCCTCGGGCTGCCAGAGCCGTCTGCCCCGTCCCTGCTCCACCACATCGGCGATGAGCTGCGGGCGCGGTGGGAGGGCATCGGGGGGCGCGCGGCGGAGGGCGCGCCAGCAGCTCCAACGGGCCCGCGCTGTCCACCTGTCGGGGCGGGGCCAGGGCGAGGGGCGCAGCCCTGCAGCTCTGCGCAGGGGAGGGGGGGGGGGCGGACTTTGGCCTGGGCGCGGGCGAGGAGCGCGCCCTCCCTCTCGAATCGGCAATGTCCCGGGGCAAGCTGGACAGAGAGCGGGCGCCAGAGCAGGGCACGCAAACGTCTCGCTGCGAGCGGGCAGAGGATTTCAATCTATGTCTGTTTCTTCCCTCACAGAGAAAGGGAGAGAAAGAGAGAGAGAGAGAGAGAGAAAAAAAAGAGAAAGAGAGAGAGAGAGAGACAGAGAGAGAGAGAGAGAGAAAGAAAGAGAGAGAGAGAGAGAGCGGTGGAGAGAGGAGGAGCGAGGAGGAGAGGAGAGGAGGCAAAGGCACGATTGTATGATGGAGAGGGGCATGGACACCAGATGAAGGAGGAAGGCGGGATGGGTGGGAAGGTGTGACTGGGGAGGGGGAGAACAAAAGGCTGCCTCTGCTGCCCCCCCTGGCATGCGGTCTGGACGCTCCGGGGACGCCTCGTCCGGCATCATCGCCAACGTGTTCGCCAGCGAACTTCGGCGCGCGCGGGCGCGCGGCGCATCGTGCGAGGACCGCAGCCAGGGCCAGGGAACGGGCAAAGGACCAACTATTGACAATCGCGCCGGCGCTCCGTCGGGAGGAGGGGAAGCGACCGTCGAAGGAAAAAACTTCGCAACTAAAAACGCTGGGGAACCAAATCGCATGACCCCCCCTCCACCACTGGCTTTCATATTGAACAATCTTTCCCGGGGAAGCGGGCGGAAAAAGCTTGAACCCAGCATCCCCGAACGCAATACCTGCCAACGAAAAAGGCCAGGGGGTGGAGGGGGGACTTGGAGTCTTTCTAGTTCGGTCATTGCTGCTTTGTTCCCCACCATCCGTTGGTGTTGGGTCCCCGTTTTGAAGAGACGGTCCCCGCGTTCTCCTCCTTCCTCCCTCCTCCTCCCTCCTCCCATCATCATCGTCATCACCCGTTTGAGCACACCCCTCACACATTTCGTGGGCCCATAGGGAGCTCCACCGACGGCCTCAGTGCTACCGCCAGCGTGCGTCCCCCCCACCCAGTACAGCGTTTCGTGGCCCCATAGGGAGCTCCACCTAAGGCCCCAGTGCTACCGCCCGCCCAATGCAACGTTTCGTGGTCCCGTGGGGAGCTCCACCGCAGGTCCCAGCGCCACCGCCCGCATGCGTCCCCCCCACCCAGTACATCGCTTCGTGGCCCCATAGGGGGCTGCACCGACGGCCTCAGTGCTACCGCCCGCATGCGTCCCCCCACCCAGTACAGCGTTTCGTGGCCCCATGGGGAGCTCCACCTAAGGCCCCAGTGTTACCGCCCGCGTGCGTCCCCCCCACAGTACAGCGTTTCGTTGCCCCATGGGGAGCTCCACCTAAGGCCCCAGCGCTACCGCCCGCATGCGTCCTCCCACCCAGTACAGCGTTTCGTGGCCCCATAGGGAGATCCACCGAAGGTCCCAGTGCTACCGCCCGCACGCGCCCCCCCCACGCGGTACAGCGTTTCGTGGCCCCATAGGGAGTTCTTCCGAAGGCCCCAGTGATACCCGCCCGCATGCGTCCCCTCCACCCAGTACAGCGCTTCGCGGCCCCATAGGGAGCTCCGCCAAAGGTCCCAGTGCTACCGCCCGCATGCGTTCCCCCCACCCAGTGCATCGCTTTGTGGCCCCATAGGGAGCTCCACCGAAGAAGATATTCAAACATTGCGGTATTCACAACTGCATATGGTTGGGTCCTTCGCCAGGATAATTGTTTCTTTCAGCTGGAACACTGGCGGCAAACGACGTGGGCCCTCTGGTCCACCCACCCCTCGAACAGACAGCGGGCGAACGCGAGGTGGATGACCCATCGGAGCGGTGCGGAGCAGCCCTCCTCCATTCCTTTCCTTCTGGATAACTCCTCCCTGTCGCACCCCGAGGCCAGTCGAAAGGGCGGGCCGGGCGACTCGCCTCAGACTGCCTTGCCATTTATGAGCCTGAAGCTGAAAAAACTGGCAACATTTTCCCATGCTCAAGTGTGGCTCGTTTTCAAAATGTGGCTCTCGCCTTAGCGCCGCGCGCATTCGTTTTAGACTTCGCAGCGGTTTCACGGATTGATGGCGGTTCCTTGTCAACATGTGGCTTTCGCCTGAGCGCCGCGCACATTCGTTTAAGCAATTCGCAGTAGTGTTCCTGATTGTCATGGTTAACGTAGCAGGCATGATGGTTGGGAGCGACTCAGGATGGCAAGGGCACAGCAGTTACGTTGATTCGCGGCGTTGAAGTTCCAAGAATGGCGTTCTGGCGCGATTCAGGATCGTCATGATGCAAAAATCAAGTTGGCTCGTAGCCTGACGTCCTGAGAATGGTGTTTTGGCACGCTTCATGATTTTCATACGGTTTTCCCGCAACGGGGCGCTTCCCTCAGGGGAAGTGAACCCTTGTAGCGGCCTGTGAAGAGGGAGCTTGGAGGGAGGCTTCATTCTAAGATCATTGATGAGTCTTCTTGGGTATGCACTGTTCCTCCTCCTCCTCCTCCTCCTCCACCACCACCACCACCACCACCACCACCGTCACGACCGTCACGAAGGCAGCGCTGGGGACGCGACGGCGATTCGCCTTACGCGTGTATAGCAACAAGCGGACAAAGAGGCAATCCGAGACGGGGGACTGTGAGGGGCAGCGCTGGGGGGGATCAGCTCATGGGGGGACACATCGAGCTGGAATCGACGATACATCGCCGATAGATCGGCCATAAGGCCCCGCTGGCAGAACCCCACGTTCCTGCGTGGGGTGGGCTTTTGGGCCCCGCTCGGCGATGAGTGGGCGATCGAGGGCCGATGCAACCCCCCCTTGAGCCCATCCCCTCCTAACGTTGCCCCTGAGGCTGGGGAGCAAGAGGGCGCCCTTCCGTGTCAGCGGCGCGGGCGCGCTGCCCGGGATGAGCGCCTGGAGACGGCGGCGAAGGCGGTGGCCTCAGCGACGAGGGGGGGCCCGTGCGCCAGCAGCGCGCGGAGGACGGCCCCGCAACCCCAGTCCTGGTGGGTCAACGCACGGGGGTGCGCGGGGACGTGGCCCGGCTCCCTGGGCTTCCCCCCTCGTCCCTGGACCCCCGCCGGGCTTTCTCCTGCCCCCCACCCACTGGGCTTCTCCCCCTGCGCCCCGAACCGTCCCCTCCCGGACCCCCTTCCTGCTACCCCCGAACACTTTCTGGGCTGCCGCCCTGCCCTTGGGCCCGCACCGTCACGAAGAGGCCAAGGGCTCTGCCGCCCCGAGGGTCTGTGGGCCGCGCGTCTGAAGTCGAGGGCCGTTTGTGACCCCCACCATCTTCTCCGCCTCCCCCTCTCTACGCCCCCAATTCTCCACTGACCCGGCCCAGATCCTAGGGCCCCCGAGTTCGAGAGTCAACCGCTGGCGCTTTCCTCATCTCAACGTTCCGCCGCTTCCCCCGCCACGGAAAACTGTCTTTGCACGAACCCGGACTTCCTTGCAGAGTCTGGGTCAGTTCCTTGTCGTCGTCGTTGTCGCTCCTCCTCCTGCTCTCTCCCTTCTTCCTCCCTCTCAGGGGATGCTTCAAGTCTTCCCCCTCCTCCTCCTCGGAGGAAGACTGGACCGAGCAGGAGGAACTTATGCTCCTTCCAGTCTTCCCCTTGCTGCTCATTCCTCGCCCCCTCCCTCTTCCCTCCTCCTCCCCTCGCCCACCTGCGGATCGACAAGCAGCACCCTCGGAGGAGCTCCTGGCGAAACGCGACCGACGTGGCGTGGCTGGGGGCTGCGAAGCGCCGTCGCCTCCAGCGCAGCTCTCCACCAGCAAGAGGACGGGGAAGGGATGGGGAGGTATGGAGGAAGGAGGCGCATCGGCGGACGCAGTCCGCCATGCCGCTGCGCGACCAGAGGCGCACTAGGCACCCTCCTCTCCTGGGATGGTCCAAGGCTCGGCGCCGTCGGCTTTGGCCCCTATCCGAGGCCGTCGCAACAACTCCGCCCCTTCGACCGCCGACGACCGCCGAGTCAGGCGATCCAAAGCCGAGCGGGCAGGCCACTCTCCGGAGGTCCCCCACCTTAACCTCCACTGCACACCGGCCGAAGCTGATGGGCTTCCGCGCTCCACGACCGTCCGGACCAGGACCCACAGACGGGCCGCCGGCGGACCCTCCCAGACCAACCTCTGCCCCCGACAGGGAACCAGGCTACGAGGAGGGAGGACTGGGCGATGAGGAGTTCGGTTCGACTGTCCACGAAGGAAGGGTCAGGCCCTCTTTGTCAGGTGAGCGCGGAGCCCATTTGGGGACGACGGTCGAAACCGCCCTCAACAGCGGGCTCGTCCTCACCTCAGGCACGCGAAGCCGAAAGGAAGAACATACGAGGAAGGGAAGGACGAATACGGGAAGGACGAGCTTTACTGCCAACCGAAAGCTGTGGGTGGGTGGGGGGTACCGCCAGCATTGAAGACCCTCTGAGGTTAACAAAACAAGCGAGGTTCCAGAGGCCAGACAACAAACAACGATAGATGCTCGGAAGGCACATACGAGGCTCCAGAGGCCATCGACAAAGCAAGCGAAACATGTCCGCTATAAACGCGTGAGGTTCCAGAGGCCATCCGCAGAACGAACAATAAACGTTCGCCCTCGGCGCGAGTGCGGCGGCAGAAAAACTGGCGGCCTGCGACACCACCGGGGGGGCGAACCACAGCGGGACTGGGATTCCAACTGGGGGGAGGGGCCCAGTCCCCCAGCACCACGATGAGTAGGAGGACGATCGATTGAACACTTCGCTAGGCGTTGAGGCCAGCACAAGGACTCAGGGAAAATGCCTAGAGTGGCCAGGGCCACGCTTGAAGAGGGGCAGTGGGTAATTACAATCCCAACCTGCCCCCCAGAGGGGGGCAAGGAGGGAAAGGAGAGGATGTAGAGGAGGATGGAAAGGAGAAAGAGGGGGGTCCCAAGTTCAGCTGCCCCAGTCGAGCCCTGACGGAACGGGGGGGGGGAAATTGACCGAGTGCCAGAGGCACTAAAAACAGTCGGCCAACGGGCCGACTCATGCTCGCTCGGGTGCAGCCCAGACCGCGCCGAGACCCCGTCCAGACGACAGGGGGGCGGAAAGCGTCGGTCTGGAACTGAAAATACAACGAAAGAAAGTGCAGGAGTTCTAAGATCGAAAGTTGCGGGGGGGATCGGGCGGCAACGCTCGGGCTCGATCGCTCGAGCGAGCTTTACATCATTCGACAACGCATTGGCGCGCGTGGATTTTACTTCAGGGAGTGCCAGGACAGGGGTCCTTCAGCTTCTTCAGATACTTGCTAACGTGCATGGAGTAGTGACTACGCAGATCGCAGGTCCCCGCGGGGACCCAATGCCACTGTATACCACGCGATGCCCAGCGCCCAAGACAGGGGGCCCGAGACAATTGGTGTGGAACGGCGTCTTGAACGATTCCTCCGCCATCGTTTTCTTCAAGCGCGCGACAACGCGCGATGTGGTCATCACTTCCATGGAAATCGTGCGCGGTGAATGGGAGCTGGGAGATGCGCCGTTTTCTTTGCGGACCAGGGCGGGCAATATCACCCGCGGCTTTGTGCAGGCGCACCGACCCCTTTGACACCATACTGAGAAAAGAGATCGGCCCGCGCGTTGCCGAGCGAGTGGGCTGCGCTGCCGCCTCTCAGCACAAGACCGATCAAGTCCTTGCGGCTTGGGGCCCATTCAAATCTTTCCACGTCGTCCGCGCAGAGGGT